GAGTCTAGGAGCTCTTTGTAAGTGATCGTAAGCGAAGGTATATAAAATACCAACGTCATTTGACACTTATGTTTGATTCAATGTGTGACAATCATAAAAGTTTATCATCTGTCGCTGAGGTGGGCCACTAAATAATTTATATTGCCATTATTATTGTCATATAATAATAATAATAATAATTATTATTGTTATTATTATCACAGTTATCATATTTAGTTGATTTCATAAGTGTTATTAAAAACGAGGAGTGAAGTTGTATTTCTTCATAATGTCCTTCTTTTCCCAGTCACTTTATAAGCATCTTTTATCTTCTCTCCATTTCCTCCTCTCTTCTATACAAATGCAACAGAGTTAACGTAGCGAAAATGTAATGAGGAAAGATATTTCACATATACAAACGCCTCAATTGCAGCCTGATTAACTTCCAAGACTTAAAGTAAGACAAATAGAAAATCTGACGTTCCACTTTTCAAAACTAAGGAATGCTAACAGTCATGGACATGCGGAGAACGCATCCTCTTTCCCTAGTGCTCCACGTCCTTAAATTAATATGAGCGCATAATGACTCGTTCTTTAATAAGTAGTACCTCTATTACACAAGTGCAAGGGATGTGGACTTCAGCTGCGGAAATGGTTTTCCTGCACTGCAGAGCATCACTGCGCAACGTCCAAGGCAGGGAATTGCACTTGCTTCTACACAATTTAAGCATTTAATTGTTTCCGATTTTTTCTAATATCAAGGCAATTAAATAAGTAAACCTTGATTCATAACTGGTATGTCAGGGAAGTAATTGTTGAGAACATTCTTAACTCAGTTAACGTCTAATTAAAAGATTTTTTTGTTTTAATTGTATCACATTTTAGATATACGTATTCTTTCGCATATCATTCCCAACTGCGAAGAATTTTTGCGCCCTGAATACCGAGCCCCTGCATAGGAAAGAAAATGAGAGATTCCGTTCCTCGTAGAATTCCGATTCGCCCGAAAGGAGATGCACGCATTACCAGGAAAACTGGATGCAATATGTCGCCCAAGAAACGATGACGTAGAGGTCGTCATTACGTCGGAAAAGTGGAGGGGGTCTCCGCTAGTGGTAGGCGCGCCCGCAGCGCCGCCCGCGGCCGGAAAGTGAGATGCTTCAAGAGGACGCCTGCGCTGTACGCAACCCGCACACACAGCTGCGCCGCGGGCGGCAGTCTGCCCCTTCGCGCTCTGTTCGTAGCAGTGGCTCACGCAACGGATGTGCAATTACGAACTTCACGCTGCGTTGTCTGCCCGTTGGTTTGGAAAGAGGGGGGTATTTTATCTTTTCGTCGAAAGAAAATTAGGAAATATTTTATTAAAATAACCGTTAGAGGAAATGTAATTATTTCCCGATTTCGTTGTGTTTATTAAGAGGTAAGTGTTTTTATCGTTTTATCATTTATTTGAATTTGATGACCCCGAGAAATTGCTAGTGCACGTACAGCCGATATCCAGACCGTAATGTCTGCCACTAAACATTGGGATAATTTGTAGCTGATTGCTACAGAAGAAGGAAATACATAAACTTACTTGGTTTTTAATTCACGAGAGTGTTAGTCACTAAAACACCTTCCAATATGTAAAAAAATAAGCCAATCTAAAAAAAGTAGTTTTAAATTTCTCTGTATGATTAAAAAAAACGTAAAAATTCGACTTCCAAATTCAAGATAACAAAACTACCCAAATGAAATATGATTCCTATGAAAAAATAAACTATACATATTTTTTTTACATGAAAGGAAATAAATAAGAACTATTGGCCTGTAAATCCAATAAAGCAATTGGCACAAACCTGAACGAAAATTCATAATTTGATTTATTATTTCATAAACGTCGCACGTTCCACCTAGTGTTGCCAAGCCAACAACGAAACCCGTCACTCGCGAAGTCGTCTTTCATCGTCTTCCGGCAATCGATAAAGCTGGGAGGCGTGACTCAGCCTGCAGAAGCAACTCAGGTGCAGCGCTTGCGTTCGCCAGTCACAGTGACGTCACCTTTACCCGGCGGCGCTCGCAAAGGCCGGGGTCGCCCGTCGCGGGGGTTAAGCGTCAGAATGGCGAGTTGCAGGAAGAATGAGGTCGGAAGACAGGCTGGCTGCTTCATGATGACTATTACGACGATTGTGACGCACGTGCCAGAGAAATCGTACGTAATGTACGGAGTAATGGGCGGGGGAAAAGGATAAAGAAACAAGCAACACGTTGTTTATACCCCCTAAATTCCAACTGCATTTTTGAGTGAACAAAATTATTTCTAAATGTTTGTAATGGAAAACATATATCCCTATATTGACATTAGAATCTTCTCCTTGCTTACGTAGATATTGGTGGCACACTGAGTACGAAGCTGAAGTGAGGAGGAAGGCTTACTCTTTGATGTTCTCCCATACCTTGGGCAGACTGCCGCATTGGTGGTTTGCCACTGTCTTCCACTGTGTGGAAGGGTTGAACAAGATATGCGAATGATGGGTAGGTGGTTGAAAAGGAACAATGGAATACGTAGTAGTGCAAGAATGCAAGAGTACCATAACCACATGATTAATGCAAACATGACTTACAGAGGATTCGATCCCGCAGTTCATCGTACTTGAATAATACTTCCATATAAATGGCACGAGGAAGGGTTGTATATAAACAGAAAGTTCAATCAGATTGGTGCAAGTAAAGGTAGGATTACTAAACATTTTTTGAATAGCATTTATTTATAACTACTCTGCTCTTCTGAATACTATTTTCCCAATTCTATTGACAACAGAACACACATTCATTTAATTTGAATGTTTTAACTTGATTCAAACAGTTTTATTAAGATAAAACCACAAAGTTAAAACTGATTAAATATTTGAGCAAGGAAAATTCAAATAATGCATTGAAATAATCTTTGCATCTATTCAACTTCACTGATAGTTTTACCTGAGCGTAATGTCTTCAATTATTTGCTGACTCCCTTTCTGGCACCTTAACTGCACGATAACTGAGTATGAAAAACTAATTGCAAGGTGCGGAGGTTAACAAGATTCATGAACAAAGGATGTAAGTTTACTATCCGTGTAGCTATTTCCATTCAATGAAGACATATTTTTATCTTCAAAATTGTTTCTCGCTTTCTATATCGAAACAATCATTCCTGCTAACCATATATTTTCAAAACCCGAACGGATGTTTGGATTCAGGCAAATAAGTATCAACATTTTAAAGTTTTGCCTCTTAGAAGTCATTCAATTTTTTCATTTTCAAGAAAGATTTAAATATTCCTTCCATTACGTTTTAGTAATATTAAACCATGTCTTGTGTTAATATTACAAACGACTATTAAAACTGACTAGAGTCGCAGAGTAGGCTTCCCCCTTTTCCCCTCTTCACAGTCATCTGACATTATTTAAACAATTTATTAGGATTTTGTTATGCAGACGATATGCTGTCAATGATCCATATTTCTCTAACAGCAAGAAAGGAAATTTTCTTAACAGCCTAACAGATAACAGATTTCTCGCCTTTACTTCCGCTAAGGATTTCAATTTAGCTCATACGCACGTACGGTCAGATTTATAGTCTAGTTACGCTTCAACAACTATAATTTGAGATTCGAACAGAACACGGAAAGGAAATTAATTACAGTAGATACATAGAGCGCACTCAAAAAAATAGGCGCAAGAACTGACCCGAGACTCGTTCCTTGTGCTTCGCCGACGCCAATTCTCTCAAGAGCGACCGGTTCAGAACAGGGCAACGTTCTGTGCGAATCCTTTCCGTCATCGACTTGAGCAGCCACTATAATCCACCACGTCAGCACAGTTTAATATGGACTGCTAAAATGGTACAATGATCCCTTGTATATTGGTATTGGTTGGATTTAAGCGAAAAATTCGGGGTATTAGTTCCACCACAGGAATAAATATGCATATGCAAATGTATTACAACACGGGAACGTGTAAGAACGGCTTCCCTCTGACATTTTGAAAGTATTTTTCAATATCCTAATACGCATCAAGGTTAAACAGAAGGCCACGTCAAAACCCAAGTATCTGGAGGCATTACTACTACTACACAAGTGAGCTTTAACGTTCAAGGTGAGTCAGTCCATTAGTTAACGTGTATGTCAATACGTTAGCATGTACTGACCTGGCCCACCTTACGCAACATCATACGATGCATACACGCACTCAAAAAAGTGCCTTTTATATGCGAGAAATTGTTGGGAGATAAAACTGGAAGCCTGTGATTTAAACAATGCTATAAAGTAGTGTTTTATTCGCGACAATTGAGTTCAGATGTTCTGTTATTGCACAATTCTTTTTACATAAGCGATTTTGTGCGTTACCCCCTCTACAGTTCATTTCTAAACAATAAAACAAATTACATCTTTTTCCAACACTATCATATAGAATGGTTAGAAGTTAAATTAATACCAGTTATTAACATCTTGAACACCGAAATCATATAATTGAACTTAACAACACGTATACCGAAAAGAACTTGGAGCTACACCAAGATATTAACTAAAAAATTTTCTAAACAGTTTCAAAACATTTTCATAACACACTCCTTCCAATCCAAGTTCGTGCGGGAATAACAGAGCGAGTTTCCTAATCAGACTTACGATGGTTTTAACAATGAAAATTTGCTTAATAAGTTGTAGATTGAACTAGCTGCGCGACTTTTACGACTACATATTTACTGACGGTTAACAACGCATTCCCGGCATAAAACGTCCTCCAAAGAAGTGTTGTTCAATGGACCACGAAGGCATTATTATGGATTAGATGTTGAGTAATATCGTTTCTCTATCCCTTCTCCCATTTCCATGGATTCAAAGCATGCATGGCAGAGGCTAAAGTATGTAGAAACAGAATATCACACTTTATCTCCCTGTCTATTTATTATATTATGGTGTGGTGTATTGAACAGTGCTATCATAACAGTACTATTCGCCCTACTTCCTAATTGAATGTTTCCTCAGTGTTAGGTTTTCTCAGTCACGAAACATTCAAAGCAGTTAAGGAAAACCGATAAGGAAAAAGGAGAATGAGAGTCTGAAGACGAGAGTGAAGGAAAAACATAAACAGAGAGTAAGCGCAAGGGAGAGGGAAAATGGGGAGAAGAAGAAAAAGATGACAGTGAGAAGTAGAGAGAGAGAGATAGTGAGAGTGAGAGAAGAAACGAAGTGGAGGGAGAATGGGCAAGTAGAAGAAAGGGCGAGCAAGAAAGAAGGTAAGCGAGATCGAGAGGGAGAGAGAGAGAGAGAGAGAGAGAGAGAGAGAGAGAGAGAGAGAGAAAGAAAGAAAGAGAGAGGAAACGAAGGGGAGGGAGAATGGGCAAGTAGAAGAAAGGAGAAGCAAGAAAGGAGAAGATAAACGAGATCGCCAGCGAGAGAGCGAGTCAGTGGTTGAGAAGGAGAATGAGCGAGTGCGAGAGAGAGAGAACGAGAGGGCGAGGAAAATCGAGAGGGAGAGAGAGGGAAAAAGAGAGGAAACGGAGAGGGAAAGCGACAGGGCGAGAGGGAGAGGGAGAGGGCGAGACTCACCTTGCGCTTGCGCGGCAGCTCGTCGTCGTCGAGGCCGATGCCCTCGTCGGCGGCCAGCGCCGCCCAGAAGGCGCTCGTGCCCTGCGAGCTGCCGTCGCTGAGCGGCGGGGAGGGCGTGGCGGAGCGCCAGGAGCCGCCGCTGCCGCTGGCGCTGGCGCCGCTGCCGCCGTCGCTGGCGCTGGGGCTGGGCGACAGGCCGCGCCGCGCCGCGTCCGACGACGACGACGACCACCCTGCACACACACACAAGCACACACGTCACCACAGCGCCACCACAACGCATTGCTGCAACCGAAGATGTCTTAAAAGCCTCCTAAAAGCAAACATTTTTAATCGAAATGCCGAACAAACATTCGTAGAAATACAGAATGTGGTTAGAGAGCAGCAAGAAACGTATATAAAATACAAGACATCTCTCATTGTACTAAAGCATTGTTTTTCCTCTGGCTGCCAAAAAAATGTAGACACTTGACTTATCGCTATGTTTCTCCGATCCCTGAAAATGCATGTACAATTATAGCATACGTTTTACGTAACTTTCAGTTCGTATACTCAAACTTACGAACAGTTTCAAAATATAACACCGGCCGAGTTTAGCTGGGAGCCAGCACTGTCGATCACTCTGCTGTGATTCCGGAAGGTACAAGGGTTCGAGCCTCGACGGTGGCGGCCAGGCAACGTTCCAAGTGTTTGGGGGAAACATTACGTGTCTAATATGGGTATAAAACATTCATATATTGAAATAAGTTGGTACAAATTCAACAATTTTTTTTTTGGACCTGTGTTTCATTTATATAGGACGCCATTTTTGTTCGATCCACGATGCATTTCAGAGTTTATCGAGTAATAAATGCCAGGGGATTTCAGTGAAGACTTTCTCTGGAGCGAATTACGTAGGAACACCTTCCTATCTGTCTTCACCATTATGATTAATTATTCAGGGTTAATTCTTCTTAATCGAACAATAATTCTTGATCTTTGCTATTGCAGATTATTGATAAGTAGAATAATGTAATGTACGGTAGGAGGAAATTGTCACAGTATTTTCCCAACGATTGCCGAGAAGCGTTTCACAGTTTAATGCACGCTCAACCATTGCCCACTGAACCCGAGGGCATTTGGGTAATTATATTCTCTGCAGCCGAAACTAAAATTTCAGTTGTCTTCTCCGTCTTCGGAATCTTGCCTGTATTAATTTTTCGTATCTGAACTGTAATTCTTGTTCCGTGTAAGTCATTTTATTCGACCAAATAAATCCATTCGCTTTGCGCCACGAAGGTCGTGCCACCTCTCGGACTCTATTAACCCCACTGATTCAATTCCGGAAGGCGAAGTCGCGGCAATGGATGTCAGCTGGTGCCGCACAGTAGGGCGCCGAGTGCGGGAAGTAGGGCGTGCGGGCCCAGCCGGGTCAGCGAAGGGCCGCGTGCCCGCCCAGGAAGGCTGGCGAAGGGCAGGGCAGGGCAGGGCATCGCAGGCAGCTGCTGCTCTGCGCTTCGGGGCCCGCCCCCGCTCCCCACCCCCGCTCGCCGCTACTGCTCCCCGCCCCCGCTACCCCCCCCGCCTGCGCCGCAAATGCTCCCGCCCCGCTCTCACCCCGCTCGCCGGCCACTGCTCCCCACCACCGCTTCCCACCCCGTCCCCGCCCCGCTCTCCACCCCTCCCGCCAACTCCCGCCTTCCCACCTCCGCCCCACCCCGCGCTCACGCCCGCGCCTGCCGCCGCGCCTACATGCCAGAACCCCCGCTCCGCCACCACCCACGTCGCATGCGCGCCCGCGCTGGCCCGTGACCCCGATGCGACGGGCGCGCGCGACCGGGTCGTGGACCCCCGCGCCCCTCACGCGGCCGGCGGCGCCGGTGGTGATGGGCCGCCGGGCTCATGGCTCAGCTGCCGCGCGCGCGAAGGGCACTGCTTACCGACACGAAGTCAACGAAAGAGCGCAACAAGACTTTCGTTCTTGAGTGTTGCTTGCGATGAGTATATTTCATTGGATTTTTATTACCGTATGTTTTTGTAAGAACGAAGAATACTCAATAAATATTTAACACTATTACCATTATTCATTATATTATTATTATTATTATTATTATTATTATTATTATTATTATTATTACTATTATTACTATTATTACTGCTAGTATTATTATTATTACTACTAACAGTATTGTCATGTTAGGTTACACCTCTAGTTTCTGCATCTACAGAAATTTAAAAATGCATCATTACCTGCAGGTGATGAGATACTTTAGAAAAATATAATTAACAATCGTCCATTTGAATGAAAGAAATGAGTGAAGTTTCGCATATCTAATTAAGAAGTATTCAGTAGTGCGACAAGTTTAATTAGTCCAAATTCATTCAACTATTTATTTAATTTTGAAAATTAGGGTAAAGGAACTTTCAGTCAAATGTGTCTGCTAAGATGCTGATGGACATTTTGAACTTTTCGAAGGAAAAAAATTAGTACTGTCTGTTAAAATGTTTTGAATAAATTTTTATTCCAATCTTTGGCAACTCTCCTAATTACCCGTGTCCTTTGTGAAGTCCGTCCATAAAACAGTAAATATCGATCCTCGCCTCTTCGAACTGTAATTATTCCGTTTCATCCCCTCTTAAATGAGTCTTTATCCACGACAATTATCTTTCTGGTGATTTTGAATAAATATTCCAAAAACAATACCGCTAGTTTCTTGCCTAGGTTATGAATAATCCCTAGCAACAAATCTCAACAATTCGTATGTACACTGCTTGTCCGATAAACATTCATGACGTGAAAAATCTTGACTAAATTGAAACAGAAAATGTACATTTGAATCATTAACAGTTTGTATTGTTTAGTAGAATGCAGAGGACTATTTCGTATCCCATGTCGCACATCGTGAAACAAGGCAAAAAACAAGGAGCAGAAAAAATAAATGAAACATCGAGCACACGAACGTGGCAACAAACGGGGCGAAATTAATGGGCTCTGGCCAGGCGCGAGAAGAAAGAGAAGCCAAAACAATGGCACGGCGGTGCTTTCTCCGCCTCCGCCCCGCCCCCTTCCCCTTCCCCATTCGGCCCCACCGCTGCGGCTCGCTTGGCCAGAGCGCATTGAGAAAGCGCGAGTGGCACGAGGAAGCGAGGGGGCGGTGCGCGGAGAACCAGGTCGGAGCGACTCGTCCACCACCGTAATCTCCGCGGCGCCGCTTCTGCCAACCCCGCACACAGCCAGGCGGTCTACCAAGGCCCCGCGGGCACTGCCGTCTGGGCCGTTTTCGCTGCTCTGCTGCCTGCACCGATTCTACTTGTGAACCCCTTACCCTTCGCCCCCCATTTCCTCGGCCCCATCTGTCCCAGTCGGACGTCCCCGTGGCCCCCGACGCCCCTGCCGCCTCCACCACCTTCGCTAGCGCACCTCTGCTCTTGTTGCCTTCGCCGATTCTGTTTCTCAACCCTCACCCCTCCCAGCCCCGTCTGTGCCAGCCAGACGTCTTCGCCACCTCCGCTGCCCCCTCCGCTCCTACCAACTTTTCAAGCGTGCCATCCCCGACGACTTAAGACGCCCCCGCTGCTGTTGCTGCATTCGCCGTCCCCACCGTTTCTCAACCCACACCACTTCCACCGTTCCCTTTGTACCAGCTAGCTATCCCAGCAGCCCTCGCTGCCTCCTCCGCCTTCGATGGCCCTTCCTCGGCCGCCCCTGAGCCTTTGTCGAATAGCCATTCCCCGATCTATTGGCCACGCCCCCATCAGCCTTGGGCTGTCACCGCAATTTCTCATCCGACCATCCCAACAGTTTCCGCCGCTCCGACCAACTCGCCCGACAATTGCGTCGACCATCCACGCTCCCCCTTTCAGTGGTTGACGTCCCAACCGTTTCCGTCTTCCCCACAGCCAGTGCCGTCCTCAGCTCACCGCTCCCACCGCCTTTGCTCATTTCCGCTGGCTTTGCCGTCCTCCCCGCCTCTGCCATCCCTGTCCCAGTACGGTTATCTTCTAGTCTTACTATTTTTTTCTTCAAACCGTCTCCCTGCTGTTTTGATCAGCAACGCGCCTACGAGCCTCCTCAGTTGTTTTCCATTTGCTCTCGTTCTTTTGTTCCGTCTGCAATTTGCCGTCTGCCGTTTCCACCCATTGAAAGTATTCGTCAATATTACTATCTTCTATCACCACCGCCGCGCCGCCTCGCTTCCCGGGCCCCAGACTTCTGTCTCTACGCCAACACATATTAGAGATCGACCCGCTGCCACTGCGGCGTCCATCACCCCAGCCTTCTTCACCTTTTCACTCCTTCCGCTGTCTTAACTCGCCCCGTCACATCATTCTTCCAATCCTTTTTATCCCATCTTCGTTTCGATGTCCCTCCCCCCTACCATCCGCCCCGCCAATCCTGCTCCTTCCTCTGCCTCCGTTACCTGTCTCCGTCTACATCCTTCCTTCCCACTCACGGCGCCACCATCGCTTCCGGAGATGATCCGTCCCCCTCTCCACCACCGTTGCCATCACAACCGCCGCCGCCGCCACCGCCGCCAGACTCTCGTTAACGACGATTACGCATCTCGCAGAAGAAAGCGATATTCACGGCGCGTCGTTCGAGCAGGCGCAGGCTCGGGAACACCGCGGAGGCGGTGGCAGCGCAGACTAAAGCACTGGTTGCGGGAATGGTGATGAGCACTACCATTATTCGTACGGTGGAGGTGATAATGGCGACGATGGGAGCGGCGACTGTATTGTGTGAAGCGGAGGTTACAGATATGGCGATGATTGTAGTTTCATTATTCCGACAGTGGAAGAGAAGGCGAAAGAAAGAGCTCGGCGGGAACGTGGCGAGCGAGTAAGTAGCAGTTGGAACTGCTACGTGCACTGGAAGTAACGATGGAAAGAGTTTTAATGGAAGGGCAATGCTCAGAGCCGTCGGAAGATTTCTTGTGCACAGGAAAAGGCTCTCCAACTGCTGTAGCACGAGGAGAAGGGTGTCCAGAAGGAGAAAGTATCTGTGTCTGCTAGATGGTCATTAGCCTCACAACGGTCTGTTTTATGAATGGTACAATGTACGACACAAACGAGGAATTTCTACTCGTGCCCCAATAGAATGCGAACTTAAAAAGTAAAAATTCTCATATGGAAAATAGATCAAAGTAAAATCCACACAATAATATGAGAGTGAATTACATCGTTCGCCATACAGTTGATTTACTTTTTCTTCCCGAAGCAGAAAGATTACTTAATTTAGTGAAACGTATTAAAC